GTTTGTATTTTGGATTCAATTTCCATTTTTGACAGATTGCCACTGCTCCATGAATATACCTTCTGAGGACCAATTACTTGGGTTTCGTGGTGGGGTTTTGTATGGTAAAGAATACCTAGAATATACTTCTAGGTTCATATATACTCTGCATTATACATGAACTATACAGTAAAAGTTGTGTTTGTTGTCATCCTGATCAACTTGATTAAGAAAAATAAAATTCAGAACACAGAGACACAGGAACACATAGCAAATATCAAAACCAGAAGAATGTTTATCCCAGGACAGACTCCCCTGTCTCAGGGAAAACAGCTGTGAAGGTATTCTGGTCACATGAGTGAGAGCAAGAACCTCCACAGGAGTATTTGTGTGATCAGCCTTTGCTCAAGAACTGGCCCTTACAGTGAGTCTGTTTTGAAACCAATGTCATGTGTTTGGCAGTGCCCAAGAATAGAAACAGAGGACTGGATAGAAGGATACAAAGTCAGAACAAGCTGAAGGTATATACCTGGGTTGGATTAGATTTGCTTCAGAATGTTTCTTCTACAAGACAAGTCATAAGCAAGTAGTAAATTAAGCTCTTCACACCAAATGACTTCAAAACAGTAGGCACAACTGAAGTAATAAACACCTCAAATTTTCCATTGCTTGAGAGCAAAGCTGCGCTTGTACCATGAAGTCATAAGCTTCCATATTTTACAGAAGAAGTTAATTGTGACAGGTTGTAATAACCTGTCTGGTTTCCCTGCAGTGATGTGTGTTCATAGCTGTGTAAACTCTGTGACTGAATTCCTCCCATGCATGAGCAGCACAACAAGCTGTTTTAAAGTGGGAAGAGTATAAAATCAGCCAAGGCACACTGCTATAGTATCACAAACAGAACTGCCTGCACAGTTGCTTTGGGGTTTGTTTTTTGGTTGGTTGGTTTTAATGGCAAAGTTTTATATTATTGATATGACAGTATTTTTAAATAACCCCAAGAAGGTTGTCAGTAGTAAAATGAGCATATTTGTTCTCACTGCACCAAATGAAAGCTGTGTTCCTTCCCTGCTCCCCATCCTCCAAAATCCAACAGCAACACGTACACTCAGTAGTTACTCAAGGATCAGGCTGCAAAGCAGGAAGACGATTAAAGATAGGCTCCAGTACAGTATTCTTAATCCAATGCAGGTAACAGTACACCAGTGAGAGGGAGGTGGGGGAAGGTCAGCACATGAGAGACAGTTATTTCTGAGAGAGACAAGCAGACATTGTACAGCATCCTAACCAAGATCTGAGCTCAGACAGTGCAGTGGTGCCTCAGATTCAGTACTCCATTTCCTCACGAAGTCCAGTGCTTGTTATAAAAAGCTAAGGCCTTGGGATCCACATATGCAAATAAGGATTGCATGACTGTGTATATTGGTTTGTGGTTTTCATGCTAAAACAGTATTTTAGAAGGTTGTAGAGGTCTAGACTTTTTGCTGGCA